TATCTGCTTGTTGTCATGCATGAGAGAAGAGGAAAGAAGTTTAAAACTTATTAATGGAATCTTTGATAAAATGTAGGGTTAATATATTTGTATGGCCTGAACTTTCCACAAATTAAATATTTTTTTATCTATAACTTCATGGCCTCAATTATGCATCAAAGTTACAAAATTAGCCAAACGCAAGATTTTGGCCGTATCTTGGACGGTCAAACGCATTTACTAACAGTCAACATGCCACATCACTACCAAGTCAGCACATACAACTTAAAAAATTTGGTTTTTTCCACATGTTATCATTTATCTTTTTTATTTTGAACAAAAAAAATTTAAAAAGGGCACAACATTTTTAAATTTCTTTTCCTTTTCTTCTTTTGTCCAAAATAATAAAATATAAATGATAATAGGTGGAAAATACCAAATTTTTTAAGTGGTCTGTGCTGACGTGGCGTGTTGAGTAGGTTTGGCTAATATCTTAATTTCGATGCATAGTTGAGGCCACGAAGTTGTAGATCGAAAATATTGGCCAGTATGTTTTATTTGTGAAAAGTTCGGGTGATACAAATATATTAACCCTAAAATATATTATGCAAGTACATAAATAAAAGATTTAACCTACGTAAGCATGAAGTTGAGCCACTTTAACAAAAATGGACTTAGGTTTTGTGTGCGCTTATGAGAAGGATTAGGTCACATGGGGATAGTGTCAAGTTCACTTGGAAGTTTGTAAAACTTAAGTGTTTATTATCTTCAAAAATTCAGTTGAATAGATGTGTTCAATCATCACCGACACCCTTGCATTCGAATATTCGCCAATTGAATATACTAAGATGAAAATTCAATTGTCACGACATTTTCATTTACGCTTAAGTTCTTGGGAAAATGTTGAATGTTGTTATTGTAGTGTATTTATTAAATACCCTAAAATGGGAGAGGAATATTGGAATTGGGTGGAACTAGTTTTGGTTAGAAGTTAGAACTAACTAACTAAACCATGTCGGTTTGGACACATGTTATTAACGTTGCATGACAATGATTTGGCATGACAGTTAGCCAATAAAACAACGTATCATTATTTCAAAATTAAATGCATGGAATGTTGCCATAGCTAAAGCAACACTTCGTTACATCCTCTCCTTGTTCTTTTTCCCGCTAATCATCCCCTCCTTGTTTCCTTAGTGAAATACGTCCCTCTTATACCAACGGTTGCCATGCATAAGTGCAATCTTAAATGGAACAATGCATAGTTTGGCAATGAACCCGTATAGTGCTTCATGTCCTATAAATAGAGGTACTTGGCTTATTGAAAAGATATGCATGAAATGATACAATCAAAGTCGCACAAATCCAAGCAATTCGAACCAAAAGAACTGGATAGGATGGAATCGATCAGACAGTGCTCACTCGTGAACAAGGCCAATCGATATATGAATTGATTGGACAGATTCAGCTCGGAATAAAGGGCAATTGATATGGGTAGCTCGCCACAACTAGGGTGAATACTTAGATGATAAGAGTCGCTCTAACACTCCAGAATCCTCAAAAGAGTAATTAGGGCAAAAGTCCTCAAGGGAACTCGACAATAGCCTCTGAAATTGAATAATAATCGTCTTTTTCTTCTTCAAACCAACGAGTTCAGCCCTTTAAATAGGCTTCAAACAACCCAAATCCGAAAATAACAAGGAAAATATCAAAGTAAACCGACTTAAGCAAAAACAACCCGTTAAGCAAAAAGTCGTTAAGCCCGCTTATTGCATTCTGCCGTCTCTTCCAGACTTCCTTCTTCCTCCACTCGAATCATCATATAAGGCCTTCCTCTAAACAACTCCACGTCCATAGCTCCAAAATGATTCTCCGAATAAGTTGCGAGCTTCTCTTTCAATGCTCTTGTCTTAGCACGTGTGACTGGCCCTTGGATGCCCTCATCAGCCCCTCCTTCTTCAAAAGGATTTGCCCTCAAATCCGAATTACCATCCAAGTAAGGTGCAAGATCAGCAACGTTGAGCGTGGCACTTACTCCATACTCTCCTGTCAAATTATGAGGTAAATGGTCAGTTATGAGGTAAATGGTCAAATGTACCATCAATGTTATTACTTGGCTGACGAAATTTATCCTGAGTGGGCTACATTTATGAAGACTATTAGCAATCCAAGTAACCAAAAAAAGTTGTTTGCAACGTGTTAAGATGCTTACCGGAAAGATGTTGAGAGGGCCTTTGGCATACTTCAACAAAGATGAGCCATTTTTAGGGGGTCGAGTCGTCTTTGGGATGCGTAAACACTTGGTGATATCATGTTAACTTGTATTATTATGCATAATATGATAGTGTAAGATCATCGATACGAGTATGGAGATGGAAAAGAGGTCAACATTGAGTACGAGAGTAATCCAATTGTCGAAATAAAGAAAGTGGTACCCTAATGTATTTCCTATGTTTTCCTAACGTATTTTCTATGTTATCTTAATGTATTTCCTTGTTATTTGCAATAAAGAAGGTACTTGCATTAGCAGTTGAAGAAAAGCATACATCAAGAAATAAACTACATGAAAATTACAAGGGAAAATGTACAACAAACATAAATCAATTGCATGAAAATTACAAGGAAAAACGTACATAAACATAAATCAACTTCATGAAAATTAGAAGGAAACGAGCACATCAAACATAGGACAAAACTACATAAAGATTACATATCGGGATCATCTTGGTAAGAAGCCACAATGTCATCATTTTGTCTTTTATACCAAGCTCAAGATCAATGACTCATTTGAGAAAGATCCTTATTCATTACCATCATCTCATGTTTGTTCTTCTCCTTTAATTCCCTTGCTCTATCTCTTGCTTCTCTTTCAACTTCGCGTTCCTCTGTATCGAGTACTAGTCTCGTGTGTGTTCAAATTATCCACTAATTTGGTCATACTCTTGTCCCAACTTTCTGATTCTTCTTCTTTTGTTTTTCCCAGCCTTCGAGAAGGTTGATCACAAAGGAGTATCTTGAACGCCGGGGCTATCACTCTCGTCGGATGGCATGCCCGATGAAGATCCACCTATTGGTGGAATGGCACAGGGGAAGTAAATTGATGCAAAATCTTTGGAGAATGTTGAAGTATCTCCCAACAATGTTGCAAATTGAAAGCCTTTCTGGTGTCTACCTTGAAAATATTTTAAGCTCGTTCAACCTATACAATTTAGAAAGTATTTTTAACTAATATGAACAAGCTAATCAATTAAAAAATTAAATGTATAATAATTCTTAGTTGCACTTCACTAACCACATCGTTGAGGTTTTCTCCACTCACTAGTGTCACGCTTGCTCTCCTTGATGCCGCATTTCAGGAGAATTGAGGAAGGATACCACTAAAATCAACTTAGGACACTGAATACCATGTAAGTCGACTAAATGTGCATCCTTCCATTTTCACATTACATCATCATCCATTCGAACAATAAAAGAACCCAAATTCTTAGTGCCACCTGAATCCTTTGAATTGCAATTTTGTTGGGAGATGATATGATCCCAAATTGCCAACCATTCACGTCACAATTACTTGACAAAGAAGCTATCGAATTTGGGAAGAAGAAAGGCAGAATTTGGCTAAGTCAAAATCCGTGTTCAGGGTACATACTTTGGAGGCATGGTTCTCCCAATTGGCTTGGTGGAAATTCAAGTTTAAGGTTTTGTTTTGCAGATAAAGTTTCCATCTTTCCAATGGTATCCTTTGTAGATCCAGATGATGTCATTAAGGTTGTTTTCCAAGGCCTCAAAGTTGTTACCTCAAAACTGGAAAACTGCCTGAAAATGGCTAAGGCAGAAAACTGTTTTGTGAAGCCTACTTTGGAGCTCAATTCAAGGATAATGGATGAGATTCAAGTCAAAGGGCTTACACAACATGAAACTAGGTATGTTTTTGAACAAAGGGAAGGAACTGGATGAAGAATTGGAGTTCTGGAAGGCCTCGAACAAAGGGCGTGAAGTTAGTACGAAAGCTGCCTTTTGACTGTTTTGCTGGCAGCTTGCTTGTGCTTCAAGAAAGGGAGTTTAAACCCGAATTTTTGTGTCTTTTTTAGTGTAGACTTTTACCTTAATTGTTTCCTAGCTCTATTAGGATTGTATTAGGTTTATTTGCCTTTAAATACCTTTTAGTTTTCGTTGTAAAAAGATAAAGAGTTGATTAATCGAAGAGAAACCGTTTGATTTGTTCGAGTTTGCGAACTTGTTTTGGGTTTGATGGATTCCAAACTTGCTGAGCTTGTGTATCGATTGATAACATACACCCCACAGGGGCGTATCAGGAGATGAAGAGGTCGATTTGGGGGAGGCATTCGCCCCAACAGCCCTCGTCATACCGTTGTTTTGTTCTCCGTAAGACTTGATGGAGTTGTGAGTAGAGGTGGCAAATGGATTGGATTGGTGGATTGGTGGATTGGATTGGTGGATCCATGGATCAAATGGATTGGATCTAATGGATTGGTGGATTCATGGATTGGATCAGGTGGATTGGTGGATTATCCATGAATCCAAATGACATCCTCAACTAAGGACCAATATGTAAAATGTAAAAAGTTTAGGTACTAAAATGTCACAATGAAAAATTTTAGGTACCAAAACGTAATTTTCCAATGATATTTTTCGTATAAAAAAATAAATTTTAGGTACTAAAATGTAAAAAATAAAAATTATAGGTACTAAACCGTAATTTGCCAATGATCTATGGATCCAATCCATGAATCCACCAATCCAATTGGATTTGGATCAAATGGATTGGATTTAAATGGATTGGATTAGGTGGATATTTTTAATGGATTGATGGATTGGATTAGTGGATTGGATTGAAATTGCCACCTCTAGTTGTGGGGTCCGGATAGTATAACAACACTTAAAGTGTTGTTATACTAACAACAGCATTCATTAAGGGTATAAAGGTAAACTTACATAAAATCTAATAAAATTAAAATATATTTAGCCCACCCACCCTTCTTTTTCTCCGATACTGTAACTCATATATCAATTCTTTCGCCCCTTCCCACAATCTCTCCTCCAGCGCCGGCGACAATTCTCTTTCGGCCGCCCAATTCTCTTCCGCCACCACTCAATCCTCCTCCATCCAAGACGTATCGTCCTCCTTCTGGCGCCGATGCCAATCGATCGATTTCAAAGGCGCAATCTTCGATTCAATTTTGTCTCCCCTCAAATTCGCTATTTAGGCTGTGTAATCGATGATGATTGGACTGACGACAAGATTAGAGACTGGATCGGCGGAAATGGCTAGAACAGAGTCTTCTCCGGCGAGGGCACTGCTGTAGCGGTCCGAGGAGTGGCCGATGGCGATGTCCATCTACGGCGGCGGCGGGGAGGAGTTGGGAGCAGCGGCTAGATGGTAAGAGCAAGTTGAAGCTAGGGTTCCACGTAGTGTCCTCGACAAGAAAGCAAAATGAATGGTGGGAAGCAGGCCGAGGGATTAGCGCCGGGCTGGCTGGCTGGTTGGGGATGAAGCCAGGCAGCGTGGTGGTTGCTTGTTGTTCCAATAAATGGTTTGTTTTTAGGTGATGTTATTGTTTGCTCATTGCTGCCGTTAAGTACTAAGTGGCAGTTTGTTTCTTTTTCTTTCTGGTTTTTATTACAGCAAGAGAAGAGAAGAGAAGGGTTTCCAATCCTGTCGGTCGATTGGGAAGAAGAAGAAGAAGAAGAAGAAGAAGAAGAAGAAGAAGAAGAAGGGAGCAGTAGCAAGAGGAGGTCGCTGGATGATGGGTGTTTGTATTGTGTTTGTGAAAGGCTGAATGAAAGCTCTTGGTCTGAGTTATGGTGCTTGGGTGATGGCGTTAGCATAGATGGAGTTTCTAGTTTTGTTATGGTTGGTATGGAAATGTGTGAAGCAGTGATGAGTTTGCATTTAGAAGGTGTAATCAGAGAGATTTCGAGAGACAAGGAAAGCAGGAAACCCCAGTTGTAGCTACAGCTGCAAGATTTGCCTCTCTGCAGCTCTACTTATAGTAGTGCATAATTAATAGCAGCTGGTAAATATTAATTTGATGATGAAGGCAAAGGTGGTAATTTTATAATGTTATTTATGGGAAACTGTTAGATTTGGATTGGGATAAAAACTAGATGATCAATAATAGACCCTTTTCCCCACAAAAGGGTTGCGCGCAGTAAAAAACTGGGTTTCCTGCTTCCCTTTTGCTAGACTTCTTGTTGGGAAACAGTTCACAGTAGACATGCTTGCATGGGTGGATAACTTCATTTCAGAAACAAGTGAGAAGGCCACTTTAGATTGTGCAGGTCTTTACATGGGGTTGATGAAAAAAACAAGTCATTTGCTTGAAAGTAAATATGACGAGAAGCTCCAGTTGTTGCAAGAACTTTTATGCAAATGTTTGAACTTTGACATAGAGAATTGCCCAGATGTGATTGAGATGTGGAAGTGCATCAAGAACTTTTATGCAAATGTTTGAACTTTGACATAGAGAATTGCCCAGATGTGATTGAGATGTGGAAGTGCATTCGGGAGGTTATTATTAGAGGTATGACAAGTAAACTACAAATATTCCATAAGCACACCAGAAATCTCATAATCCATACCACAAATACGATAAAACAAATCACAAATATATACCAAAAACCTTTTAATGCAAACCTCAAATCTTCTAAAACATATCAGAAATCTCATAAAGCAAACCACATAAATTTAAAAACAAACCAGAAACTTCCTAATGCAGACCACAAATACGACAAAAAAAACACAAATATTTTGAAAAGCATACCAAAAACCTTCTAATGCAAACCACAAATCACCTAATACAAACCAGAAAGATCACAAAGCAAACCACAGATATTTTATGATCACACCAGAAACCTTCTAATGCAAACCACAAACACAGTAAATCAAACTACAAAAAAGCAACCATAAACATCCTAATGCATGCCACAAATCTCCTAAAACAAACCAGAAACCCCACAATGCAAACCACAACATTTGCGAAAGCACACCAGAAACCTCATAATGCAAACCACAAACACAGTAAATCAAACCACAAAAAGCAAACCATAAACGTCCTAATGCAAACCACAAATATATTAAAACAAACCAGAAACCTCACAATGCAAACCACAAAGTTTTTGAAAGCAAACCAGAAACTTCTCAATGCAAACCACAAACACAATAAAGCAAACCATAAAAGGTATAAAAAAATATGAGAAACCAAACCATAAATATCACAATGCTAACCATAACATCCGGTGATCGAAGACCGTTGACCGGTCAACGAAGACCGTTGACCGGTCAACGAAGACCGTTGACCGGTCAACGAAGTTCGTTGACCGAACTCCGGTGACCGTCAGTGAGCAGATTCCGACGCCGATAGGCATATTCCGGCCCCGATGACTAGATTCCGACGCCGGTAAGCATATTCCGACGCCGGTAAGCATATTCCGGCGACAAAAAGCATATTCCGGTGATCGGCCACCATTTTCCGGCGACCGGTGGCAGAATTCCGGCGACCAAATTTTTGGGCAGAAAATAAAAAAATATTTTTTTATTTTTTATTTTTTTATTTTTTTATTTTTTATTTTTTTATTTTTTATTTAAATAGATTTTTCATAATGACAATTATACCCCTGCTTTGATTTTACACTAGGTCAACTCATCTAATAAAAAGTCATCACAATCCTAGCTTCCTATTGGTTGGGGACTAGTGTTGTTACAATAACAACACAATGGGTGTTGTTATAGTAACCGGTCCCCTAGTTGTGAGGAAGATGGAGAGGTTATCACATTTTGCAAGAGAGAATTAGGGGTTTGGGTTCTTTCTCTTTTTTTGTCCGAATAAATGGGAGAATTTTATGGGTGATGTGGCAAAAAAATAAAGTTACTCAGGAGCTTACGTGGTATGTGGAATACGATGAGTTGGTTTTTTTTTAAACGCCATTAGTGAAATAGACGGGAAAGTGGAAGGACACACATTTACTTGACTTAGATGGTATCTGATACACTAAACCCAAAATTCAATGATATGGAGTGTATTTCTCTTCTCTACCATCCACAAACCAAAGAGGAGTGTGTTTTTGGGACTAACTCCTGTGGAAAAAGATGTGATTCAAGGAGCAATAAGTTGTCTTCCTATGTCGACAAATTATCCAATTTATGTCTATTTGGATATGTCAAAAAATCAATAATTTCTAATTCATTAGGTTGGGTATTGGGATTTTTCTTGCGTTCCACTGATTGACAGAACCTGCTGGCATCACTACCGTCTGCCAGCCTGACCCCCATTTCGTTCAGGATCACATTCTCTTTTGTTTGGCCTCCAAATGTTCTCCCGTTTGATTCCATGTGGTTGTGCATTGATCCGCTAGTATGTCAGGTTCTGAAAACCACATAAAATAACCTCCGCAAGGCATCAAAAGCATACAAATGCTCCAAGAAACTATAAAACAAACAAATAATCTCCCTAGACTTTAGTTCGTCGGAAGTGGCTCATTATCAACTTACGAGGTCAATAGCAATAGAAGACTCTGAGCACATCCTTGGAAGCATTACCCATTTTGTCCTTCCTGCGGATTAGTGAATCTAGGACAAATCGAACATTAATGAAAAGAGAGACTCTTAAACGTCACGGTAGGGTGATTACTCAAACCTTCTTCTTCTCTAAAAACCCTTCTTTATTTTGTTAGGCTCAAAGGGGATCTCGTGGCCTGAATCGGAGTATCAATTGTTTTGGCAATTTCGTTACTTTCAACTCTTCTATCAAGTCCATGCAGACGGTTAATGTATATATAAGGGTGTCAACAACTCTATTCATGCTCACACGTTCTTAAAGTGGATTTCCAATCCTCGGGGGGATTGTTCATAAGAGAGTTTTTCTTGTCCCCCATCTTCTTTTGATTATACATTAATATCATTGGTTTAAATTGGTTCTTTTATCTTTCCTGCATATTTTGTGATCATGAACACCAATGAAACTGATGCTACCTGGACACTTGGACGACCATTCTTATCAACCGTTCGAGTTGTAGTAGATGTTCACGACAGTATATTCTCTTCGAGTTGAATCTGATAGTGTCACCTTCAAAATTGTCGATGGAAGGAGATCTGCCATTTCGGTCCTCAACAATCCAACTTTCCTCACTTCATCGTCCATTCATCCTCATATCCCACGAAGCTTGATCAAAATGTGGATGGTAAAACTAAATTTTGAAGAATGAAGATTTTGCATGGCTATAATGTAAAAAGATCCATCAATTAGCTTCTCCTAAGCCAACCCAGGGATTGAAGTTACTAGAAATCACTCATTCAGTGATCATTAGAGAAGTTAAAAGGAAGGTGGAGAGGATCATTGTTTCGCCTCTGCCAATGACATCCCATCTCAAAAGATAGTCCAATATTATGATACTTCTGATTTTTTTTTTTTAAGCTTAAATGATACTTCTGATTATGATGATGCAACGGAGACAAACCCAGATTTAAGTGTTTAACAAAGCTACTCCAGATCGACTCTTGAGACTACTCCCAAATCATCTCCAAAACTTTTAGTCAACTAAATATTTCCACACAACATGAATAAAGGTATGAGGTTATGATCAACTAAAATTATGTATAAATTTTAGTTAATCTAATTAGTTCTGATTATGATCGACGACTTGGTAAGCTAAAATTATGCAATCACGATACAAATTTCGTTCTTCAAGCTAATTAGTTAATCTAGTTACGGTAGAAATCAAATTAACTATGTATTAATTTTTAGTGGGGATAATTATAATCTTATAGGTAAGGTTATTAGTAAGTAGAAGTGAATCGAGTGAGGTTTGATAGTGAACTTCGGTGTTTCGGGAAGAGCTTTCTCGATTGAGTTCTCCAAAAATGCTAATTTGTTTAAATTTTTACTTCTTAGTCTACAACCAAAACTATTTTCCTTTTACGGTTTGCTTCCATTAGGTCAATTAAATATGAACTTGTATCAATTCCTCATAGACCGATAATTCCACTCATGCTTTAATACTCGATTGACACATTTTTCACACCATATTTTTATTTCTTTTAAGGGGTTGTTTTCACTCGGATTGACTTGCTCATCCCAAGTCGTCAATCAACTCATATATTGTTGACAACGTATATAGAAGGCAACGAAGTGTAAACTGTAAACCCTTCAACAACCAACTCCTTCCCCAGAAGTATTAACTTAGTTGCGTTCATTGATCTCAAATCATATTGCTCGATCCACATGGAAACTGTGACTATCACGATGAAACTTTTTCTTCGATGGTCGGAAAGACAGAATTCTTTGTCGAGCAGACGAGCACCAATTGTAGCAGAAGACCATGTTATCCTTCACTCAATCAAGATGGCGCTTGTTGATAATACCCCTCATTCTATTCTATCATAATGCAAGACTGTTGCAAAAGCTCTGGGGAAGAACCCAGATGACCTTGCTTCTACTTTCCATCTATTCTAAGTGCCAATTCTTATATACCTCCATTTTTTAAGATTGTTGCAGAACAGTGACAACCAGTTTTTTTAAGATTGCTGACCCTATATATACCTCCATTTTGGAAGACTCAGTGATTGATATAAAGAATGACCAAGTCATCAGAACTTATCTATCTCCTTGTCCATGAACCAACTGGAAAATGGGATCACTAAATTCAGCAATGTGCAAACACTAGGGATATTTTTGCATTCATTTGCAGAGTTGAATACCGTCTTTGGATTTTGGGGGAGTCATTTCACTACAGTTATGAACAAAACCCCCGAATCTATACACGTGCAAAGGAGATAATGATGCAGCAAATGGTTATTGAAAGCAACACTCAGCTTGCAATGGAGTTAAACTAATGTTGATGGTTTGCAGTGCAAAGAGTCTTGAACAGAGAAGGTTTCGGCGTAGTTTGGAATGAAGTTTAATATACAGCCTACCCCGAAGATTGACGACACAAGGGCAAATCGAAACAGAAAGTAACAAATGCAAGAGTTGTAGTTCTTTTCCCAGCGATTCTAACATATATATGATATCTGACCATGGGTGTGGATTTTATTCATGTTTGTCCAGTGAGAATAAATGCTTGAAGAAGGCTCTGTGCTGCCTGGGTTTCATCAGGTGTCCCAGATATAACAATAATCCTGTCACTCGATCCTACACGAGGTTCATGCACTATAACCTTGGCACCTGAGATCTGATTAAGACGACAAGATAAGTGGCTAATTCATTTCAGTTCAGATTTACAAGTAAGAATGGACATATGTTGGTAACTTTAAATGCTTGTCCGCTCTATTATTCTTTTAAGACTTTAACTGGAAGCAAGAACACGAATTTCATCTTGTTATACTTGCTTGTGTGTATAATTCCTTGGTAAGATTGACTCGCATTCTAATGCACAATAGCTCGCAATGAAAACACGACTATCAGCATTATGCATTTTATAGCATTGGAATTCCCTGTTTTATATGGCTTCTTCTCTAGAACTACAAGATAATAACAACAACCAGCTCTTGGTGTTGAACGTTTCAGTGTCTTCGATCATGCCTCATAGTTAAATCTCGACATAGTTTTGAGTTCAACATTCGGCATTCGTGTTTAGTTATTTCTGTACTTCTTGAGTTTACAGCAACAATATTCTTGTGTTATTAGATTAGACTCTGCTTATAAAGGTTGTAACGTTAGCGATTGCCCAATTTACCATCACTACCCAGCTTTTAAGCTCAAAGCACAGTTTGATAAGAATAAAAATAGATGCCTTTTCTGTTTGTTTGTTTGTTTGTTTTGACATTGATCTTTCTTTTGCTGTTTTTTTACTCTTAATTGATTGTTTAACATAAAGTCTACCGAAGTAAAGACAGTCTAGATTTTATATAAGTCTATATACTGTGCAAGACACCTACCTTCTGAACATAATGATGATATTCACAGAAGCTGGACCATCGAGGATAAGTATAAAGACAGGCTTACTTATTTAATCCATTTGATAATACACTTAAAACAAGGAAAAATCAATGGGAAAGAATGAGAAAGTGAAGAGGTACCTGTCTCAAACGAACCAGATTGTTCCCATTTTCACCATACACACAGTCGATAATGCTTTCAGGTACCGCAATCTCCACAGTTGTATTTGTGACAATTGCAGACTTGCTGGAACTGAGTACAAACAGATGACACATTAAAGATTTTATGATATTTTTTATAAATATCAATGACTGGTTGCTTATCCAACATAAGTTTCTAGCTAATAGATATGACGAAAGGTAGGTAAAAAGAATTCACTCATCAATCATAATTCACACTAGATTTCTTCCTCTAGGATGCAAAAATTCAATGAGAATGTAATGTGAAATCTTCTCATCCTACACCATGACATTTTATGGACATAATAACTTGCTAAAGAATGAACAAAAACATCAAAGAACAATGGTGAGATAGACAGTGGAAATTTCAGCACTGGAGATATTGATAGCATCACTATCGTTAATTCCAGGAACTAAGTATTTTCACCAACCTGGCCAGGTGAAGGCCTCCTTTGAAGGAAGATAATCCTCTGCTAACATCAGCAAAGCCTCTTGTATTTTCCCCGGTTTTCATCTGTTTACCAAAAGCAAACCATACAAAAATGGGAGACAAATCTTAACTAATCATGTAAGTTTACAGCGTTAGACCATAAAACCACAGCATCCACAAGAGAAACAGTGGGGAGAGGACACTTGACCTGAGGCGTCCACGTCTTTGGGGACAGGGGTCGATCCTGAACATGAGAAAAACCTAGATGATCCAAACTCTGTGCAAGATTAGAATGTCGACCTAAACTATGAGAAGTGCCAACTGAAAACTGTGAGGAAAGAGGAATAGGATCTGTCAGTTGATCTCTTAATCGGTCTCTAGAATGATCCCTAATTGGGTCTCTGAATGAACCCCCAAGTGGCTCCCTCAATGGCTCTATGAAAGATTCCCTCAGTTGCTCTCCTGAAGGATAACTATAGGGATCCGTGAAAGATTTCCTTGATCGATCCCCCAAATGGTACCTATATGGGTCCGTGAAATATTCCCCTGACGAGTCCCCTGAAGAATGCCTATACGGATCCGAGAAAGATTCCCTTGGGGGGTCCCCCGAAGGATACTTATACTGGTCTATGAAAGATTCCCTTGATGGCTCCCTTAATGGTTCCCTTAGAGGGATCCTTGATATGTTCCTTTGACTTTCACAGGCATTGGTTCCAGTTGATATAGGGGTCCTTGTCATAGAAGTGCTCCGTAAACTCGAGAACAGGTTGTCTCGGAGCCTGCCAGTAACATGGTACATTGCATCTCTTACCTTGATCAAATCTCCTGAAATCTGTTTAACATGCAAAGGCAGCAAATACCCAGAAACTCAAAAGCAGTTGCACAATGCAATAGCATGCTATTATACACAACGTCAAAGACTTGTCACTTTATATATTAAACTCAAAAGGATTTAATATATGTCAGGAATATGAAACCATAGGCCGGACCATAAAACTATGGAACCAGAGCCCAACTAAATGGCTTGCTGTATATCAGCCAGTCAGCCAGTGCCCAGCTTCATTGTCAGTGATTATTTAGGTCATCTAATTCATTATTGTTCACTGATCCATTACTCGAAATAAATGAAATAAGCATCTAGAAGCAGGTACCCACTAGAGATGTCTCCATCTCCAAACTACTCCATTGTATTAGAGTTGATGCTTTTATTGGCGGTAAGGACATTATTGGGAGGAAAGTTTTGGATTTTGAAAATGACAAAAGCAGCATGACTGAAGATTCCACTAGTTTTCCCTCAGTATAAGCAACCAAATCTTATGCCATCCACAACAGTGGTACATATGCCACTCAACTATACTCTTATATGCAGGCAGAGTTCTAAAAAGCGGGCCTAGTCACTCTCCTTGGCTATAAGCGGTGCTGAAGGCGTTCCCAGTGCTTCCGCAATAAGAAGCTGCCATTCAAGGCGACAAGAAGAGGGAGGAAGCATGGTTTATGCGGGGCCAGGATGAAGTTTGAAACTTAAACAAAAGGACTCTAATTGAAACCACACACCAATTCTCTCTTCTCCCTCTCGATCTGCTGTTGTACCGCTGGGCCTATTTTTTTTCTTTCTATCTTAGCTTGTTTATGGGATTTGGGGGCTGGTTTTCACCTAGACTTAGAGATTTTATCCTTATGTGAGGAATGAGTTGAGAGATTGGAAGGGGTTTCTTCCTTTTTGTTTTGGTGTAGCGACGTCCACTCCCTAAGGAAGTTTCTTGTTGTCATTTTTGTTCCCTCTTTGTATATTCCTTTGAATGTCTTTCTTTTCCTCTTCCGTTTAGATTTTTGGTTAATTGTTACTAGCCCTTTGCTATTTATATTTCCATCGCCTAGGCGCGTCTAGATGGCACTTAAGCAAGCCAGGCGCTAGGAAGGTTCCCAATGTCTGTCTTAAGCCTAATGCTTTCTTGAACCTTGTAAGCAGGTATATTATGTGCAACCTCAACCAAAAGAAACTCAGCCGAAGTAAAGATGGATGGTATGCAAGCTGTTTACAGAACAAGAAATACATCCTAAGATGACCACATAAAAGCAGGGACACATCCACCAAGCCGGAAACAATGAAATCAACAAGTAGATTATATTGTACCTGTACGACTTGATCACTCTTTGGAACACACATTGGCAACTGTTGTCCACGTCCTAATACCCGTATGCTAGCACCAGTAACCTTGCACATTTCTGAAATTATCACCCCTCCTTTCCCCAACAGACAACCAACCTGGTTTGTTGAGACTACCATCCTGGCTGTGACAGAGGATCCGTTAAGAGAGCCTTCCAGCCGCTTTTCAATCCCAGCATCCACAATTCTTGTGAAAACGAGGACTGCCGCCTTCTGTGCAGCAGAGTATCGAGATTCTGGATTCTGCAGCAGAAGATTCCAAACATGGCATGCATTAACATAAAACACATGATGACATGAATAAGTATAAGAGGATCAAGCACAGGATTGCTAACCTCTGATGCTGCAACAGTGATTAATCGTTCATCACAATCGGACACTGTAGGTCCAATAATTACTGAAGCACCTGTCTCATTTTGAAGAGCCTGGATAATGCTGCCACCCTTTCCAATGACACCCCCAACTCTATCACTTGAACAAAGGATTCTAAAAGAAACTTCCTCTTCTAATTCCCTTGTTTCCTGGTTGGGCGGCTTTTCAGATTCCAATGACAAAGAATGACCTCCTAAAATGTAAGATGTAGAGATATTTGGTGTGGCAGCTAGAAGTGAGGTATGTTGTGACAGTACATCCAACCGCGCCTCAGGGAAATATTCTTGAGGAACCACCTCAACAGCTTTGCTGCCAGTCATTCTTGTCCTATCAAATAGTTGAGAATCTTGAAGACAGCGAGAGACGGCAACCAGTGCCTTCTTCACCCCTATAAGTTCCCCTTCAATCTGAAATTGTGAAATAATATATATAACTCATCAAAACAGTAGCAATTAACCAGATGAAGTGTAGACATTGACAATATTACAGAAACTACGTCCTCACTTAAGCAATTACCATGCTACATCAATTATTGAATGTTGAACCAAACATTAGAATACAAGCCAGGAAACACACAATCTTACATGCCAATGTGCTATTTTCCCGAATTTCAACAATCAATCTGGGACCCTGCCCATCTCAACCAAGTAGCTCAAAGATTCATATTCAACATGGCTAGTTTGGAGCACAGATTACATATCTTCAACTCTTTCTAAATCTTTAACTGCCTGTAAGTAGTTCAGCTCTGACTGAACCCTACCCCATATAACAACATATCACATTCCACCGAAAGAGATACATCTCACAACCCCAGAGATCTCTGTGCCACAAATCTGAGAATCGATTAAAATTAACAGACTCTAAAGTAATCAACAATCAGAACCAGCCGCAAGAAAATGAATTTGCAGCACATAAACGTTGAATCAAGCCTACAAAGTCGAGTTCTTTCTTTCTTTTTGGTGAACATAAAGTCGAGTTCTTCAAGAAAAATGTAGTAAATTAAAAGGCGAGAGAAAAGAAACGTTTACCTCAATCATCTCCTCCGTTGAAGCAGCACAAAGAGGTAACTTATCCCTCATAACCTTGATTCTAGCACCACAGTCCTTCTGTATCTTCTGCACAACCTTCCCTCCCTTGCCAATCACAGACCCAGCATGGCTCCCATCCGCCAACAATTTACAGGACACCACCCTTCCTGCAGGAATACTTCCCCCATCCGTCTCGGCAGCTACTTCCAGAATCCGCTCGAACACCCTGACCAAAGCTTCCTGGGCTTTGGAACAATCAATTTCACCACTATTGACAACACCGGGAGCGACTACGGAGATGACTCTGTCGGGGCACTCGGCCGGAGCTTCCTCAACACGGATCTTGGCGCCGGTCTGCTGCTGGAGCTGCTTGACTATGCTGCCGGACTTGCCAATCACGCCTCCGACGCGAGAGGAGTGACAGAGGAGGCGGAAGCACACGTGGCCAGGAGGCACGGGCAGCTGATGCTGATGTTGATTCGGAGATGGAGGAAGGTGCTTCAACCGCTTGTTGGGGTCGGACATTCCTCCGGCAGCGAGATGAATGGTTCGTTTGGCAGGGAGGGAGAGATATGTAGTGTCCATGTCCCTCTCCTCCTCCTCTTCCTACTTCTCAGTGTCGGATTCTGAGCTAATTGGTACGGCTCCGCTTCGTCTCCCTGCGGAATCTTTGCTCCTAAACCTATCTGTACGTTACGACTTTGGGGAATTTGGAGAAAAGAAAAGCCGGGGAAATCCTAATCGTCGACGGCAGCAAGTGACGGAAGAAGACCAATGCCTCTTTTCTTTTCTTTTCTTTTTTTCAAGGCTTAGTAAGTAATAATTACATACTTACCGATAAATTGCAAGCTTGATCGCTGATATTATTAAAATATTTCACTATTTCTCACTAAAAGTATTGGTAAATTACAAGATTGGTCATTGGAAGTATTGAAAAGTTCACATTTGATCACTAAAAGTATTTTACTCCATTCATGGTCACTAAAAGTGATTAAATGTAGAAGTGGGCATCCGGTTCGATAAACCCGAACCGTTCCGAACTGAATCGAAACCGAACCTAAGCAAAAAAAGCTCACCTACGAGTCGAAAATCAATCAAATCTCCACCGGCTTTGTTTATTTTGGTTCGGAATGAACTAACCCGAATTCTCGATCATCGAATCGAACTCCCGATCCCCTCATCTCCTCTCCCTCCCGATCTCTCATTCATGCCCAACTCCTCCACTTTTTCTACACAAAAGGAGGCAGGAAGTCTCCAGACCAGAGACAGACCCGAGCTTCCCAGTCCACTCTCTCGACTTCTCTCAACTCTGAAGCTCGATTGCTCTGAGTCTCCCCCTACCTCCCTCCCTTACCTCTCTTCTTCCATTGCCTAAACTTCGGTCGGCAACCGTCATCGTGTCAACTCCGGGATCTGGCGACGGGCAAGTGGCGCTCTCATGTCTTGAACGACGAAGGGAGAAGGATAAATCGGCTCTATGCACCGCCGTTGAACTCCGTTGCTTCCTCAACTCTCGTCTTCCTGAACTCCGAATCGGCTCCCATGTCTCGAAGAGCGAAGGGCAAACAACGAATCAGCTCTGGAATCTGGTGAATGGCGAAGGTCGAATCGACTCCATGAAACGTCGGCCTCCACTGATTTCCTTCGTCTCCTTCCTCCAATTCCTTACCAATACAATAGCACAAGTCGGCGATAGTCAAAACCTCTATTGAATCAGTCTCAATTTTCGCCGTCACTGCACAACTCTTTTTCCCTCGCACCCGCATCTGTATTCTTCTGGCAAGCTCCGACAGTGTGGTTGCGAAGTGTGAAATCAACACCGTGTTATTCAAGTATGACCCAGGCCTGGAGCTTTAGCGCGAAAAATCTTTGAACGGGAGACGAGTTGCCGTTAGAACGACATCGTATAGGAGGAGTAAGCTAGCAGTCAACAGTTTGGCCAAACCCGAGCCAAACTGGGGATATTTTGGTGTGGAGTGTACCGAACCAAAACCTTGTTCGGACGCAATACGACTTGGAAAGGAAGGGTGGTTTTGGTTTGGGTTTGTTCGGGTTTGGAAAACCAAACTAACTGAATGTCCACCCCTACATTTCACGTTTGGTCACTCCCCCTAGTCTTTGTCAGCCTTCGTTAACAGTGTCAGTGTTTTGCTAATGTGGCTAACGGAAATGCTGATTCACTCATTTTTAACCTCACACGTCAAACGCTCTGCATAACCCAACCTAATTCACCCCTAACCCAACTCTACTCAGCACGACCCAACCCCCATCCACTTTCCCAACACCACCACCTGCCATCCCTGCCTTGCACCATCGCGGCATTGATGCCACTCTCCTCCTCCTTCTCTACGACCCCCATAGCAACCTAGACTTGCTAGACATCGCCCCTTACGAACACCTTGCGTTTCACTAACCACATACCCGTCTATCACCTGCCTCTAATTTCCGCTACCCACAAACTATAAAAACCGCTACCTCTTTTTGGAATACATGGCAGCAGCTCCACCTCCGAGGAATTCTCTTAATCCAAATCACTGCCAGCACCCATCGTCACCGTATCCGAGGAAATCGAGCTTTCCATCGAAGTGGGATTTCAAATGTCACTTTTTGTAATAAAATAAAGTTAATATACTATATATTAATACGATTTTAAGGTTATAAAATCATTTATGGTATTAATTTATAATATATAATTTTTAAAAATTATTAAATTATCAAATAATCAATAACTATTATAAATTATTAATTTCACCATCCCAACTACATTATTTTATTGAGGTTTTACTATATAAAAAGAGGTACTGTTTGGCAGATTTCTTCCTTAGAAATAGATCTAAACACATATCCGACGATTTTAATGTGATGCGCTTACGAGAAATGCAAACCAATAATGAAGACATCTATGACCAGATCAACATTATATTTGGTCCGGTCTGAATGGCTATTCGTCCACCTTTTAAAGTATTTATAAAATTTATGGACCAAAAATCAGATCAACATCATATTCGTTCCGATCCAAATGTTAATCATGTCAATTTTTTGTTAGTATTAATAAATTGATGAGACCAAAATTTTGGCCCATTATTCGATTTGATACTGGTCGAGTCCAATGGTCGGTTTGATATGCGCGGTCCAACCGTTCCACACGCTATGCGCACCTAATCAAGGTCGCAGCCCTCGTATATATTAACCAGAAGACTTCTCAATTAGGTTTTTGAACAAACGCTTTTCTGTATCGGTTCTTGCGACTCTCTCTAGAACTCTCTGTTCGTTTTTTCGCCGCTATCTCTATACATCATGGCTCGCCGGAGCTCTGGAGGTCTGTTCTCCTTTCAGATCTGCTTTTACATATATAATTTCTTACGACCCTATTTTTATAATACGTTCATTTCACGTCTTCGTGTGATGGCTTGGGTTTCAGTTTAATCTGTCGTTCTTCTACTTTGATTATGTTGCGAATTCGTTGAGTTAATTGGTTCATGAGATTTGAGGAAGAGGAATAGTAAATATCTATCATTTTTTCCCGATCTCGTATGGCTGAATCGTCATAGATTTCCTCTATCTTCTCGCGAAATGAAGATTGGGGTTCTTAGTTCTCATGCTTGGGGTTATTAGTTCTCTGTTTCCTTCTGCTGCAGTCCTTTTGTTCGGGATGTCGATACTTATGAAATGGTGCTTAATGAATGTAAAAATCATCTGCCGAAATCGATTTGAAAATTTTCGCAGAATAAATTGTCTAATCGCTGTTGGTTTGTGTCCATGGTTGGGTGTTCGTTCTTGTTTCTATGTCATGCTTTTACTCTGCTTATCATCTCGATAAATGGTCATTGAGTGAGCGATGCAAGTGTCGGCGAACTAGTTTATTACCCTTGAATCTCTATTGAGGATCTGTTATGGAACTGAAGTCAGATCGTGAAATTGTAACTTACTGTGGCAAAACCTTCTGTTTACCCTTGAATTTGCGAAGTTTATAAACTACTTTGAGTGGGTTGAAACTTCAAGCTTCTAAGATGGTTTGATCATTGATGTTGCAAAGTTGGTTCATTTTTTTGCACCCTAGAAGCTGCAGGTAGACTCTCTGATACAATTTTGTTGTTGTTTTTTTTTGTTTCCAGTTGATTCTGTTCCTTCTTTGAGTAGCTGATACCTCGTGTTTCGTCTGTTGAAAATATACGCTGTTGTTAATTTTTTACTTGGTTTCTTTTAGGGTTTTCTTAAGAACCTTTCACGTTGAATTGTGTTGTCTGTCTTCATTAGTTCTGATGTTATTCTTTCAGTAATTTAGCTTTTGAACGAGAGCTTGGGCAAACCTAAGCTATACTGTGAATTTTTTCTACAGGTAGATCTGCTCCTAGGGCAGCTCCTCGTCGTCCAGCACCTCAACCAGGTATAGTTGCGTTGACCATTATGTCCTTTAGTGGCCTGTTAAACATGTATATGTTAGAAGTTTTTTTTTTGTGCGTTGCTTCTTTCTGGGTTATGTTTTGGCATTCGACACAATAGAATTGACATGTTCTAACTTTTTGTTTCTATGACCTTTTGCAGCTAATCGAGCTACTCCTCCTGCTGTTGCTCAGAGCAGTGGTGGCGGCTCATTGCTTGGAGGGATTGGCTCCACCATCGCTCAAGGTAGGTGAAGAGTACAAGTGTTTATTTGTTGTTGCATCCTTCATATTCTCTAGCTCAGATTCTCAATTACAGTCGGTGATCTTTTTCTTCCTGCACTTTTGTGTCATCTAGGGATGGCTTTTGGCACTGGGAGTGCAGTGGCCCATAGGGCTGTCGATGCTGTGATGGGACCCCGTACTATTCAGCATGAAACTGTTGTCGCTGAGGCTGCTGGTATCCCAGCACCCACTGCGAGCAACATGTCTGTTGACGGGTGCGGTATTCATTCCAAGGCTTTCCAGGATGTAAGTGTGCCTCTCTTTCTACGTTAAAAACTGAACTCTGAAGCAGAAACCAGATGTTTAGTGATATCGATTGGGTTGGTTATTTTTGCAGTGCCTGAACAGCTCCGGCAGCGAAATCAGCAAGTGCCAGTTCTACATGGATATGTTGGCCGAGTGCAGAAGGAACTCTGGTTCTGGGTTGAGCGCCTAAATGCTCTTTCTTGTTGTCCTCTCGTCAGTTGTCTATTTGTGCACCTTGAGGGTGAAACACGAAGTATTTCTTTTGCTATTTGTTGAGATACTATTTAATAACGGCAGACTTGAGTAAGGGCGCCGGATGAAATAGATCATTGAAGGATATTCCAATTAAGTATGGTTTCGTAATTCCTTCAGATTGATTGGTCTCGCTCACGGGTGCAATTGTTTTGGTAAGGTTCCCACTTGTAGTTCTGGATATATTTTGATCATGGTCCATTAAATCGTACCGGCGGTTCAACCACGAAATACCAGTATCGGAGGCTAAACCGATAGGCGGTATTTAACGATCTAACGGTTGAAATACGATTAAACTACGGTTTTATCATAAAATATTATATTGCTGACTTTTCCGGTACGATATCCGGTACGGTTTCATGGACCATGATTTTGATTCGGTCTTTGGTAGTTACCAATATTGAACAAAATATAGATGGAAATGCAAGATCGACTTGGATAATGACATAATGTCTGACTGGATATAATTATGGTCTTGTTCTTTGATCCTCTGATTTGTTTTACTATTAGACTGCGATTTTGTGGTTTAATCGGGTTTCGTAATGATTAGGTCCTCTTGGTTTGTTAGAAGCAAAAATGGGGATGTAGGATCAAATATTTAATCATAGGTTGTGCAGCTGTGTATTATTGGGTTTAGGCTCTTTATTTTAAGGTTGTTAAATATTATGGTTGAGAATCTTTTGAGAATACCTATATCACTATTTACCATCGTTATAAATATCATGTTGTATCATTAAACTTTACTATCGTTATATACTATAGCAAAAAAGCTCCGTTTATCATTTTATTTAATTTTACGTCAAAATATATTAAGGTGGATGTCATTTGTAGAGCGTAATCAATCTAATTTTTTTATGTATAAATTTTAAAATTTGAGTTAAACTGAGTAGGATACATTTTAATAGGGAACTAGTTTTTAGTGCCCGCGCTCCGCGACGGGATTTGAGATATGTGTTTTAAAATATTGCTATTGCATACTGGTTGTGTTTTTTTGTGTATGTTTTTGAACTTCTATTTGTTATTATTATACTTTACAACGATAACAATGTTGTTTATAATATGAGATTTTTATATTTAAAAATCCATTTCATGATTAGCGTTGGAATGTATGTTGATTTTGAATAACAAAGAGGTTGTAGTGTTCAGATGTGGTTGTGTACGTTTTTCTTTTTAAGTGCAATCATATTAATAACCAAAAGCTCTTGTGTGTGGCCTTGGACTATTTGTGTGAAATTATGATCGAGATAAAGCCACAACACTGCTTTTGGATGTAAAGCCCATCTACTTGGGCCTTTGATTTAATCTATTCCAGCCCTAATTTAATCGAAATGCTAAAACTCGGTCGTTTTCTACAGAAACACCTATTGCCCCTTTCTGTCTAAGCTTTTCGATCAACTGCTGAAATTTAAAAACATAAGTGAAGGATCAATTAAGAATAGCAAGAACCGTTCCGCTTGGAGTCCAGAGCAGCTAGAGTACAAAATGCGTGCTGGGAAGTTTCCGGCAATGAGACAAAATGAGCGCTGGGTGACAGTGATCTATAACACAAAACAATTCTCATAACATTTTCCACTACATAATAGATTTTGAGAAGCAAACTAACCGTTCTTATCAAAATAACCATAAATACATCATACTTGAAACTAATAAAGTTCTAAATGGTGATACTGGTACTGAACACCACCTGACAAAATGACACCTTGCTGAACAAAGATCCATAAACACCACACCTGCAAACAAAAACACAAAAAAAATAAGAAACCCGCGGTAAGCAAAATGTCATCCATAACTCTAAGAATTGAAAGATCACCACCTAGTGCACAAAGGGTCTTCCATTCTAAAAACCAAAACGTAACTCTGTTTTTAAAATAAGATACCTTAGGTCTCATAAGACGACACTTTGCAGAAGGACGCTTAGCAGAACCCTCAGCTGACTCCGAGCCCCCAATTGTAAATGGAACAGAAGCATTTGCAGCACCAGTGGCTTGCTTTGCCTCTGAAGCATCCAACTTCTCAACTTTCACCTTCGCCAATGGAGATACCAGCCTGTCACATTGAAAAGGAAATCACGAAATAAGCAAATAACAAAACATTAAATGTATTAAACCAAAGAAAGCTTATTTTGTTTGACAAAACTCACAAAGAACAGAAGGGGAAGTAAATGATGGGGTCGATCATTCCATGGCAGCAACCTTACTCTGAGGCGTCTCTAATTTTCCAACAGCAGAACCCTGTGCACTTAATGATTCATGACCAGAATGACCCTCTGATCCCTAAACAGCCTTTGGTACTGGTGGTGAGGGAGTCACTGGCATATTTGACACATTAATAATGGCAACAGGTACTGGTTGCACTTGGTAAACTTGATTAGCAATGATTGACTTTTCACCAGTTGAATCAGATATCCCAGCAGGACCATTATGGGGCTGACCATCATTGATTGCTGCATTGAAGACTTTCTCAGTAACATTCTCGGGAAGAGGCTAACTCTCAGGATCACTGACTTTATCATTGATCAACAATGGTCCCCTTACTTGACTGCAAGAGATCACACAACGCTCAGACACTACATTTTATCTCAAACACACACCACAAAAGTAACCAATCAATGGAACCACAATCTCACAAATAAGACCGTGTAAAACTGTACCTAAGAAGCTTCGGAGCCTGATGGCCAATTTGGAAAGTAGGGCAGGAATTTTCATACAACAATGAACCCGAGACCTTTTCTTTTCCCTTTGAAGAACTTATTATCATAAACAAATAAAGAAAGGAAGCAAAAGGTAAGCATGGCATCTTAAACAAAAAGACCATCCAATAACATAAACTAACCATAGAAGGGAAAAAAAATAAAGCTAAACCTTGATGGTACCGATCTTGCCATAGGTGCAGGCAAAGACATCAACATTGGCGATGCTGAACAGGTGACATGACTGTCATTGCTCTGAGATGGCAAAGAAGCCAAAGGACTGACAACACTTTCCAGAATTGTAAGGGGAACAGGTGCTGGTATTGCATGGGGAACAGGTGTTTGTATTGCATGAGCTTGCTGAGGAACCACACAAAGGACCCTGAACTATCCAGTTGGCATGCCATTGGAACCCACCATTGGCAACTTAACCTCAATCTTTGCAAACTGACCAAACAATACACTCAATTCTGGAGGCAGCTCGCTAGACCTGTGCGGGTATCTCTGGGCCAACAGCTGAGTAGAGGTGAAGACTAAGTTGTTGCCACATGAACCAAAAACAATGAAAGGGCCTTCACCAGTCTCATCTCTCAGTATAAGCTGGATTTTATACCTGCACAAAGAGATGAAAATGAAACACACAACTTCAGTAACAACATACACAACACAACAACAACAAATCACTACACTGAAAAAGCACAAAAAACAACTAATCCACTACCCAACTGTACAATGCCTCTGGTATGCGAGGGTTCAATGATATGCGAGTCCCTGAAGAACTGGAACAGGTGTATACACCCTCTGCGAAAGAACATATAATTTTTCATAGACCAAATCAGAACCCAAAAGCAAATAATAAAGATCTCTCCAAACCACGAAAAGGCAAGAAGGAAATGTCACCTATCACCCGGCCAACCTTAAGTCCTCCAACTGCAATGATCATTGGCTCAATAGAGTCTTCCTGAATCAAAGCAGTGCGGTACAGGAGGCCAGCGAGCTCGTTCCACAGAGTTATGGAGACCCTTCGATGCCTGAGATAAAAGTACAACACAGAACTGAAGTACCACCGGGAAAAAGTGATATTAAGGAGACCCTTAGCACCCTTCACATTACACGGCAAGGTTGCATCCATGTCGCTCAAAATTAGTCCTGAGAAATTTTTTGAGACAAAGAACTGTAAGAGAGAGAGGAAAAAAGCAGAACAGGGACCAAGAAAAGAAATGAAGGAGAAAGAGGATATATGAAAGAGATAAGGACGCAAGTAGATAAAGAGAGAGAGAGAGAGAGTAGCGATGATTCACCCAGAAGACCTGATACCCTCTCTGTCTGGCCGAAAAGACAACAACGAAAACTGTGCCTGGCAGTTTTTACTTTTTTCTCTTCACCTAACTGCGCGATTAGCAGAGCTATCGGAAACTGCGCCTGACAGAAACTTCATGTGGTGGAACAACAGCCACGATGGGAAAACTCTCTTTCTCCCGTTTTATTTCTAGGGTGGGAAAAGACCTCACTTGACACATGCAACCTCAAATATCCAACCCAACCGTCAATATATCGCAAAAAGCAAAATGAGTTCGGTTGGGAAACAAATATTTCCACATGATCAACGCGATCAAAGGCGACCAGGAAGATATAAAATCCCCATGCTCCCAACGCGACAAAAAAGTGGTCAGCAAAGAGCTTTTTCATCCAGCCCAAATTCAACCAATAGTCCAAAACAAACTACACCATTGAAAACTAAGTAGAGAACACGAAAGGCCAGCTGCACCCGAGCACACTCCAGGCTATAACAGTAAACATGAGTCTAAAGGTACAGTAAAAGCAGTCTGGTGGAATAGTAAATGAGATGTTGGGGTTTTATTTCTTTCAATGAGTAGCCATAAATTACTTGCATGTTTTAGATCCATAATGAGTGTATATGATCGGTCTCTGACTGAAGGAAAATTTTATAAGACTCATTGCTCTGCTAGTCTACTACACCTAGTCAAGCCAAATATAACTCAACTAGGTGGCGTAGTATGGTGATGACTGATGTCGTATCTCTATGGTCAAGAATCTTACCGAGAGGCTTCTATCGCCGATTAGTCAATATCTCTGGTGAGTCCCCTCATATACGTCTCTTGTGTTATTTCAGTTTTCCGCGTCTTAGAATTTTTCAATATCAATTAAGTACATACGTGTATTAGAGATGTATATATATGTATATATTAAATCACACTATCATTACCTAACTACCATTCAAATACGTCGACCAGCAAGAAAATTACATTCCAAGAGCAACCACCCCACTCAGTGACTAATAAACCCGCGGCTAGGGGTGTCCATTTGGGTTCGGTTTTTCAGGTTTACTCGAAACCGATCCGATTATATACATTTTTGGTTTTTCGGGATCGGGTTTGTTTCGGGTTTTCGGGTTTTTCGATTTCGAGTTCGGTTTTGCTTATCGATTTTTCGGTTCCGGCTGAAAACCTTCAATGAATAGAACTCAGCAGGGGCGGACCCAGGGAAGTTCAGGGGTGTCCCCGGACACCCCTAAATTTTGGGAAAACGATTATCCAACCCCGGTGGTAATTTACGTATGGACAAAAAAAATATAATTGATAGTGAGGGACACCCCTTAAATTTGAAAAAATGATTATCCTACTGTCATTTATGTATAGGAATATAAGTGGTAGGTTGGATAATTCAAATCTAGAACACTATTATTATTAATAAACTTAATTTCCGTTGAGCTAAACTCATTTGTTGTTCGATTTTGAACAGTGTAATAGTAAAATGGCATTCCCTATCTCTAATTATGTTAAAAACCTAACAATTAAACTAATTTCAAACTACCCTTAATTTGTATTGATGTTATGATTGTACGACAAGTGTTGAAAGAGTCTTTCAGCTTTGGGTTACATCAAGAACAAGTTTACAAATCGAATATGCGATAAGTTCGTGAATGAAATTAGTTTGTATATAGAGACAATTTTTTTAACACTATAGACACCAAGTGTATTCTACAATTATTTTCGAATATGAAAACACATCATGGACTTTTTTTAACCTGTACGAGTAAGGTATTTTCATATTTATAATTTGATTTTTATTAATTATTTTTATTTTTATTTAATTTATCTATATCAATCATTTCAATAACTCAACAAATTCATAAGCTATTGAGATATAATTATATGAACTTCTGAGCTATTTTCTTGTTAAGTAAGTTACTATCATTCTAACTAAAATGGGAGTGTTGTAAATTTTTATTGCATTCATTATATTTTATAAATTGCTAGTTTTGCTTCAAATTTCTATGCATGTTTAGGAAATGCCTAGCGTCTAAATGGCTAAGCGAACTAGACGCTAAGTAAAGCCTCTACGCCTGCCTATGCTAGTCCATGAAACAAACTAATGAGTCATTTGGAGGTTGCGATTGTTTTGTTAAGATTGTTACTATACATGTATTATTTAGAATCCATCATTTTTTTATTCTTTAGCAGAAACAATACATGTATTGTTTATGTGATGTGACAAAAACTATCAACCAAAACGAGTGATTATTATATCTCAACTTTTAGCTGTGATTGTTGATATTGTTAAGTTAAGATTGTTTTGTCTCAACTTTTAGCTGATATAACATACACAATCACACATACCAAACGTTACATTTTAAAATACATCAAATTAAAAAACACATACATAATAACACATGCATTCACACTGATATATAAAGGTAAAGCTCGTCCGACACAACAGTCATTTTGGATAAGTGTTGGCGGACAAGAGAAACGAATTAAATCTTATTCTCTATTTCCACACCACATTCAAACAGCTACAAACTAATACCAAAACAAACAACGCCCTGGTATAAAATATCAAATCTTCATACCAACAAAAACTTCTACTAAAACAAAACAACGCAGAAGAAAAGCTTGCAAAACATACATATAAGCCAAACTACGGCACCAGCCTGTCCAGCCACCAGGTAACAAATAGAGAACCCCAACCGTCAAATCAAAGTACGGCTGCAATGACTTCATCCTAAACTTCGTAGTTATCCTTTTTCCAAGACCGATCTACTCTCACTCCAAAGTCCAATCACTCTAGTTTCTTCTCCTTCTTCTTCTCCTTCTCCTTCTCCTTCTCCTTCTCCATCTTTTTCTCGGGGACTCTGCCTCTAGTTCCTCTGCTTTGCGCTGCACGGCGGCCAAAAGGGAAGAGAGAAAAGGGGTAAGATGATCATCAAAAGTACAGCTGATCTCGTGAAAGACGAGCTCCCAATTGAGAAGGAAGCGATGGTGATTCCAGAGGACGAAGGAGCTGTCTCCGGTCTGGTACTTGTGGACATCATCAACGGATTCTGCACCGTTGGAGCCGGGAATTTGGTGAACAATCTCTTTCTCTTAATACATAGATGTAAGTGAAAATTATGCTGGGCAAGTGTTTAAAAGAGAATAATGATTATTACCCTACCCTGTTTTAAAAAGGCTCCAACAGAGCCGAATACGCAGATCACCGAAATGATTAAGGAATCGGAGAGGATGGCAAGGTTATTCTGTGAGAAGAAGCTCCCTGTCATGGTTTTCCTTGATTCCCATCACCCTGGAAAGCCTGAAAACCCATACCCTCCTCACTGCCTTGTGGGCACCCCTGAATCCAACTTGGTTCCCGGTACAAATTAAACAAATTAGTATTGTTCTTCCCCAATCGATGTCTCTTTGCTGCAACTTCTCTGCCTGAAAGTATGGATCTTTTCTTTCGCTGCAGCTTTAGAGTGGCTTGAGAAGGAACCAAACGTGACAATCAGAAGGAAGGACTGCTTCGATGGGTTCTTGGGATCGATACAGGAAGATGGGTCCAACGTTTTTGTCGACTGGGTTGCCAAGAATGCCATCACAACTGTAAAAAAAATTATCGATCTTTCACCTCTATGAATAGATATAGAATAGTATCCGCTAATCGAACCAATTCGTTTGAGCCGTTAGTCTCATTACTGTTGCTATTCACGAATGAAATGCTACACAGATAGTGGTGGCTGGGGTGTGCACAGACATATGCGTGCTGGACTTCGTCTGCTCGACGCTATCAGCCAGAAACCTGGGATTTCTGAAACCTCTGGAGAATGTGGTAGTGTGTTCGAATGCCTGTGCTACGTTTGATGTCCCTCTCCATGCTTCAAAGAGGGCCAAGGGTGCTATGGCTCATCCCCAGGTAACTTTTTACGCCCGTTTTTTAGCCGATCTCTTCAGTAGAACCTAATATTGTACGATGTTCAATGAGACCATGACGACTATATATGTGTGTGGGCAGGAGCTTATGCACCATGTAGGGCTATACATGGCGAAGGAAAGAGGTGCCGTCATAGCAAGCGAGGTGAGGTTTGCATCCAACAATAATATGGGACGACTCGATGTGTGAACCAGCCTTACCTACTTGATACGTGGAGTGGAGTTGGCTCTCCATATAGATGGGAATTTATGCTCTGTTTCATACAACTGAAGTTTGGTTTCCGGCAGTCCTAGTAGATATTGTCCCTACAAGAAGTATTTTGATCGAACTTTACTTTCCAATGGCGCACCGTTGTTATACGACTACTACTGCTACCTAGTTGGCCACTCTACATGGCTAAACGATATTTTTCCATGATGGAATGTAAACTTAAGTACTTATGTTAAGTGACTTTTATATATTCCATGCAACTTACTTGGGTATATATGTGTCTAGTAAATAAACCGTTTTTATACTACTGCTACTTAGTTCTGCCACGTGAAAAGAAAAAAAATCTATAAATTATTAAAATTTCAAGCAAATAAACTGAAACAAAAAGCATTAAAATACATAGAAGTTGCTGCTTGAATTTTGACGAGGTGCAGTTTATTTCGACATACGCTTGTCTACCGTACGCCTGTTGAGTTTTGCGATTTAGACAATGAATTGATTGGAGCTTGGGGCATGATATTATACCCTAACGTGTCAATCCCAATCCTCAATTCACTAACCTAAACCATAAGATTCATTTAATCTTGAAATGAAAATCAACGATGCTGATTCATTGAAATTATCGTTGATTATTAAACGAATTTTTCAATTTAGGTTAGAAAATTAGGAACTGGGGTTCACCCATTAGAGGTTAGGGTATAGTATCATGCCCCAAACTCTGATTAATTCATGATCTAAATACCAAAACTCAATGGGGCATACGGCAGGTCAGCGTACGCTCGGGCATACGCTAGCCTGAACCATATATATATATATATATGGGGAGTTCTACGGTACCCAGAGTGAAATCCGGGGTACCGCATACCTTAAGTAAGAAAACGCTATCTAGAACTTGAATTGACTGATCTTTCGAACATGATATTGTACTCTAACCCTTAAAGATCAAAACCTAGGTCTTAATTCTCTAAATCTTATACCCCAAGATCAATTTAATTAGAAACAATAATCGACGGTTATGATTCGTCCAAATATAGGCAACAAAATCAATGCACCATCTTAGGATTTATAGTGTATGATTTAGATAATTAGTACTTAGGATTCGCTCATTAAGGGTTAGGGTATAGTATCATGCCCAAAAATCCTGGTAATTCGAGGTCTAAATAGCGTTTTCATACTCAAGGTATGCGGTACCCCGGATTTCATCCGGAGTACCGTTGAAGGCACCATATATGTATATATATATATAGTAAATTTCATAAACATTTTTCGAGATAAGGTAAATAGGTTATTCATTATAAGTTAACAAATTTGTAATATATTGTACTTTTAAATTGTACACATGAAAAGAAACAGGGTGAACCATAGCTTGTGGTTAGGGCTGCAAACGAGCCGAGTCGAGTCGAGTTTTTGCTTAGCTTGAGCTCGGCTCGTTTATTAATTTTTCAGCTCGAGCTCGGCTCGAACTCGAATTTTGATAATCCAGCTCGAGCTCGAGCTCGGCTTGAATAAAAATAATCTAGCTCGAGCTCGACTCGGTAGAGCTCGATAAATGCTCATTAACATAGCTTATCAAGCTGAGTACAAGCTCGGCTCAAGATGAGCTCGATTTAAAATCATTTTTGCTGGAAAAATGTGTAAACATAAGAATTTAAATGATAGAAAGAACACTAGAAACTATAAATAACATCTAAATTTCATACACATCTGTATTAGAAGAAAATGTTCATGTTTAAAAGAGTAATTCATCCTTCCACAAGCTCAAAACAAGGCAGCTCGCAAGCTTAGCTCGACAAGCCACCGAATCAAGCTAGCTCGCGAGCTTATCAAGCTGAGCAGGGTCTAGCTCAGGCTTGGCTCGTTAACTAACGAGTTGGCTCGCGAGCCGGCTTGTTAAATAACGAGTCGAGTGTCGAACGAGTTTTTTCCGATTCGAACGCCGAGTTGCTCGCGAGCGGCTTGGCTCATTTGCAGCCCTACTTGTGGTAAATCTACGTCTAAAATTTAAGTTGAAGAATGCATTAGACTAGCGAGACTATATAAAAAGAATATTGTAAAATATCATAATTTCCTCCAAATATCTGAACACTTAGAAAGTAGTTGTGACATGAATTCGGTAGAGTATCTACAGGGTGCACACATCAAAATCCACACCTAACCTAAAAAAGTGAGCTCTACAAAAGAAACCATCACACAACCTTAACCTTAATTTAAGCAGTAAATAACGGTACATAAACCAATCTAAATATAATGGGGATTTAACAACTTATGAATGGCATCTAAAACTCAACATCCCAAACACTTTCTAATGTCAAAGGTAAAGCTTGCAAAACATACATACAATAAACCAAACTACGACACCATGTAACAAATAGAGAAACCCAACCCTTCAAATCAAAGTGCGGCGGCCATGACTTCATCCACTAGCGCCACGTATAGCTCCTCTGAAACTTTTAAGACCAGCACCAGCAGCACATCGCTTTTTATAGTCATTTGGCAAAGGAATGAGGTTGTCGATGCATGTCCAGAAGCAGAAAGGCACCACAGAACCATCGTTCCTAACAACAAAGTAGGCCGGATAGCTCCCCACTGTGGGCATCCGAATTTGTACTGATTGGAGACCCCCTCCCGAACCAACCTTCTTCTCCCACTCTGGATCGCCCTTCTTCAGCAAAGCCAACACTACCGTTTGAATAACCTACATACACAAAACCAAAAAAAAAAAAAAAAAATAATCCAGTTGAGTCTTCAAAGCAAGAAAGAACGCCATAAAACTGATTGATGGCTCCAAAATGTAGAACATGCAATAAAGGCAGGGATAGGAAAATATCATAGAGCAAATACCGGGTCGGTGATAGGAGATTCATATGGACAAAGATGATTCAAACTTCCGAAATATGAAAACATTTGTGTTGAACTCTGAAATTTCAGCCAACCCAAGGTGACACCACCTTCCCCATCTTCTTCATGATGACAGCTACAAGGACCAACGCATTGTTCTTGAAATTTCTCTGTCAAGGGAAAGATATGATCAACACATTTGATGAAGCAGAAATCCTCCATAGAACCATCTCCCCTAACAAAGTAGAAGCTTCGCAGATCACTATCGTATGCTGGATGGATTCGAACTTGAAATGATTCGACGCCAGAAGAACCAATCTTTTTTTCCGACTCTGGATCACCCTTCTTCAATAACTCCAGTAACATCAGGTGGGCATGCTTCTACAATCACACCCACAAGCAATAAATGACATGCAATCTATGTTTAAATACAGATCAAAACAAAAGTAATGGGCATGAATGAATAAACGCATTACCTCGACGAGAGTCTGATTAAGTGGGGACCTCATAAGCAACGAGTAAAAGTATCTATACATATTCGTGGAGTAATAGAATTTCTTCGAACCCAAGATGACGGTGTTGAGCCTTCCCATCCTCTCCTCCTCATCTAGCCTAGCATTTTGTTCTCGTGTAAGCCTTTCAAGTTCCTCTGCCACTCTATCAGCACGCAAACGACCCATGCCTCCTGCTATATGACATGCACAAACAGCAACAACACCACCACCTTGATCTTTCAAATCCTCGGGTAATGGAAGGATGTTGTTTACACAGGTCCTGAAGCAGAAATCTGCGGTCGAATCATCTTTCCTAACGATAAAGAAGGTGCGGAAGTGGCTGCACATCGTGTCGTTTCGGACTCGAAATGAATCGACCCCACAACCAATCATTTTATGTGGCTCGGGATGACCCTTCTTCACCAAGTCCAGCAAGCTCGGCACGATCCTCTGCCAAAAGAATGTGCAAGCAAGCAAGCAACTGAATCAGATAACTGTAGACAAGTAAGTTAATTTCACAGAGCAGAAGAATCAGAGCATTAACTAAAGCACCCCGTCGTCCAGAAGATAACAAATAATCTAATCAAAATATATCAATGGTATGAGCACGGTAGACTTTCACAGACAGCATTATTGAAGCCTTGGATATATAACTAAAGACCCACCATTCCCTTCCCGACTTGATAGAAAGAAAAACAAACTAAGCATAACTGACAAAACAAAGGGAGTAAAGCACTAAACTACACTATACATTCCCACATCATCAATGCCCAAGCTTGTACACTCAGAATGATGTTCGAAGGAAGGCAACCTTGGCTGCAATTAAGCAAATAAACAAAGGCAGTAGCAGCAAATGAAGTGAAAAGAAAAAGCGCAACCAACAAACACATCATGGTCCGGTCCGATCCTGAAGATATGAGGATCATTCCTTGCAACACAAAGAATTAATCAGCAAAGGCGAGTGGAGATCTAGTTCCAGAAATCAAATCCTAAATTATTTATACGTAAGCCATCGAACAACAGCAACCCCTAGCTAGCTCACGCGATGTATCTATCTATCTGTCAAGCAAGCAGTATATTTATGAATGAAGACAGAGGAACAGGGAATAGAATACCCACATAGACGACGGGGAAATTTAGATAACTATCGGTCATCCACCCTTTGACAGTTTGAAACATCTCACGGGAAGTCGTGAATTCCATCGTACCCAAACGGACCACCCCCTCCGTTCCGGCGTCCTTTTTCCGCTTCTCCTTCTTCCAGACATCATCGCTTCTTCCGGCGTCGCCGCTCTCTGCTTCCCCAGTTTCCTCCCTTGCTCGCTTTACAACTTCCTCTGGATTCCTTCCCCTAAAAAAAAAAGCTTCCTCTGGATTCCTTTCAATGGCCATATTGCGGGAGCCTAGAAAGAGAGACCGATAGGGAAGGAAGTTTGTGAGGTGAATTTTCCCAACCCTAATCCCTGCCTAGCATGTCTAAGAGGTGCCTAGGTGTTCCAATGAAAATAGCGATTTTCTATAAAAAGTATTAGTCAGGGACGGACCTTATGTTACCCAATTCGCGCAAGTTGCCCCGACGCTAATTCGCAAAAACGCAAATTTTCAGTGAAGCGTTCCAAATTCGCGAATCAATTTTGTATCGCCAGAGCGCGGGTTCCACCGTGATTGTTATCGGCAGGCAATGCTGATATACTGGCAGGCAGGGGAGAAGACAAATATCCCTTCCGACAACGGTTGCTGATGTTATTCAATCCTTTGAAGGGTTAGAAGATCTGGGCTGCATTCTTGGGGATCAGCAGGTGGATCAATCTACTGGAGAGAATATATGTACCATCCTTGACATGCAGTCCAGACTCTGATTGTCTCTCTCTCCCTAGGTTTTCTGAAGGAATCGGGGACGGTAAAGAAAAGACTACGAGGAGAGTAGCTGAGATCTGATTTCGATGATCTCCTGCCAAGCGCTACTCTCTTTCGTCTACGCCGCCATGACGGAGGAACAGAGGGGGGCGCCTAAAGCTGTTAAGCGGAGATGAAGCGATGAAGGAAGCTAAAGAGTTACGGGGCGGAAGTTGAAGAAGAAATCGAGGCGCTGGCGGGTAATTTGGGACCGATGAGTGATGACCGGCGACCTCGGAGGAAGGAGAATTGGGAGCGGATAAATCGATAATGGGGGAGATTGACGGTACCGGAGGAAGAAGATAGAGATGGTTATTCTATTTTCATTTTTCAATGAAAAGCTATTGTATTATTTTTTAATTTAATGGAGGTGGGATATTGGTTTTCATTTACGATATAATTTTATAATTATATGAGTTTTTTCCTCGGGTGAATATAATTAGATGGGTTCACTGGAATTGATTAGTACAAGTAATTGGTAATTGTTCACTGTTCTCCACAAACTGCAATTGAACAGGTAGTGATGTTTAATAGAAACAAGAAATTTTTTATGTAAATATTCACAAATAACATTAATATAAATATCTAAAAATTCCATAAATGTTAATTGCAGGAATTAATTGTGATAATAGTTCATATTGTATTTAATATTTTATAAAGAAATATAAATTATTAATTAAAATAATTTAATAATGACGCTCTATTCACGCTCTCAATATTTAATTCCTAAAAAATATTAACGCTCTGACTCTGTCGCTCCCGCTCCACGCTCTGGTTACCTAAGGCGGACCCAACCCAAGTTAGAGCGAATCCGGTTATCGTCCACCACTTGGATATTGGAGAACGGTTCTCCATCTCCAATCCAACGGTTCACAAAAATGGTCCATTTAATAAATGGTTCAGATTTGTTAGGGAAACTGTTAGTGAATTGTGAGGTCAGCAACTCAGCATACTGAAAAGCAGCTAACAAAAAACTATTTTTGGGGTCCGCGGACCGAAAAATGAGCTGACAGAAGAAGGAGAGTAGGGAATACAAGTTCTTGAAAATGGTGAATATGATTTCTGTTTTGTACAAATATGTTTTGTGATCAGTAACAATATGTTTTGTATTTAGTAAGAATATGCTTTTTAATGCGTGGTATATTATTTTGAATAAGAATTGTGAAAATTACGAATATAGAAATCACACATATGGAATATGTTTTCTATTCAATGTAAATATGATTATTTGTTTAATACGAATATGATTTTCTAATGTGTATATTTGTTCAGTTCAAATATAACTTTTGCTTAGTACAAATATGTATTTTGTTCAATACAAATATGATTTTGTTCAACAAGAATATACATATACCACTTGTAAATAGTATGTATAAGTTATATTTTGTTAAAAATAAATGGCTCACATGTCAACTACTTTTTCAAGTAGTGGGCCCCATAATCCACTATCTATTACTCTAATAGATCCCAGCCTTTAATTTAAAAGAACACTTTTGTGGATCGTTGGATGAGAAAGGAGAATCATTCTCCAAAATCCAAGTGGTGCACCATATCCTCGTTGAGTTAGAGCAGAGTGTGTCGTCTGACACACCTTCGCCCAAAATTTTTGGGAGAGATCCTCTTTTTGAAGGTACAAAATTTTAAAATTCGAGACCTCTTTCACACATTCGATAATTATAATTTATAAGTGGCACACCTTTATTAGGCTATAAGAAATTTGTTGTTATATAATTAATAAAATATATAAAATTATATTTTTTTTTTAGTTTATTTGGGTTTCAAGTTAGTTTTGACTTTACATATTGCAACTGCAAGCTTCCAAAGGCCTTTTCATCTATGAAGAACAGTCTTCGGAATTGGTTGAATTACAAATTTATGAATGATTTTTTAGTTGTGTATACCAAAAAAAATCTTTGGATTGAAACATAGGTAATGAACATATTTGGGTAATGTCTATTTTTTATCCAAACACTTTTTCGGATTCTTTTATATTATCCAAACCTATTGAAATGCTATTAATTAGCCAAATATTTCGTAATGCATCAAAATATTATCTATTTTTATGGTATCGTTAATAATTTTGTAACTCTTTTCTTAGTTGAAATACTAAAATTTTGTAATATTGACCTTCATGTATCTCTTCCAAATCAGTATCATGTTGCCAAGTCAATATTACTAACAAAATTGCTAATTTGAAGTCAACATTTGGCTAATTCTTAGTACTTTGATAGGTTTGACTAATAAAAAAGAATCTCAATAAGGTTTGACTAATAAATAGTCATTACCCAAATATATTTTACAAACCTTTGAAGATATGAAAAGTCGTCGTGGTTTATTGTAAAAAATGACGATATTGTAAACTTTATAAATTCAATTTTATTTAATAATTTATTTTATAAACCGACACACCTATTTAAGAATCCTCGATCCGCCTGGTAATAGGGTAATGTCTATTTTTTATCTAAACCTTTTTTAGATTCTTTGATGTTATCCAAACCTATCGAAATACTAAGAATTAGCCAAATGTTAACTTTCAGTTATTAATTTGTTAGTAATATTGACTTGGAAGATACTCATGAAAGTCAAGATTTTAAAATTTTAATATTTTAACTAAGCAAAGAGTTACAAAATTATTAACGAACCTTCGTTGAAGCAGCGGCTTACTCATAAGCAAGCACCTTACCTCGGCCACAATAACGTAAAAATGGCTAATATTTTGATGCATTATGAAAGATTTGGATAATTAATAGAACTTTAATAGATTTGTATAATATAAAAGAATTTGAAAAAGGTTTGAATAAAAAATAGACATTACCCAAAATATTAAAGCACTTTAAGTTTACAACCCCTGCCACGTAATCCCAACTGAAAAGCCTAAAGTGTCCACGTCAACCGCCCTTCTACGCCCCTTCCCCGCCGTTTTTTTCCCCCAAGGCCAACTTCCTTATTCCGCCACGGATACGATTACCCGTATTCCATCATGGCCACCTTCTTCACAAATTGACTTCTCACCCAATTCACCTGGCCCCCAAATTCCTCGACGGGATGAGGCGATGACCATCTCCTCCACACCACCATTTCCGACATTTTCCCCTTCCGATTGCTTTCGTCTTCCCAGGTAATTTTATTTTTCGTTTCCGACCCTTGATTCTCTTCCCACCACTTTAATTACATCTTTCTTTCGGTTTCTCCGTCCCAACTTTGTGTTCTCAAACTTCCCAGTCTTTCACTCTGGTTTTTGCTTCGTTGCCGGACTTCTTTAACACGATTCTATAATTTTAAGAAACCCAACCCATTCATTTCGATGTGGAAAGCATCGACATCATAGTTTTTCTTTCTGCATAATAGTTGTCCGACTCAAATTATTTTGAAAGTCTCACTCCTGTTGTTGTCGTTCCTGCACTTTCCATACAAGGTTATTGGTTCCTTATTTGAGTTTTTCCTTTTACTTCTTTTCTATTAACTTCATGTGAGAGTGCTTAGAAAGCTATAAAAAGTATACTAATCAATTAAAATAGAGATTTTTCCCTATTGTTTGACAACTCATGCAACAAATGCTAGAATTATTTCTGCTTATGATCGGTAATCCACCAAAGCTTGATCTTCATACATTTATAGTGACTTAGTAACTAGGATTTTTTTATCATTTGATCAATAAGGCCAGCTTATGCCAATACATCTTTAAGACAAACCAAACAAGTATTTCCTTTTATTTGATTACAGGAACAATGTTCAGCTTTAGTTTGCAGGTTTGGCGCTGGGTTTCAAGGCATATTCGTCTCCACTCTCTAATGGACATAAAAGGAAAGAGATTGATGATGTCTGACTAACCCCACAGACAAACCCCAATTATTCGTTGCGGTTTCTCGCCTCACAGTAAGTTCTAGATTATGATTTAGTTTTAACATGTATTTGTATATGTGAAATGCTGGGAAATGCTATGGTTTGTATTTGAACATGTATTATGATAGTAATCTTTATCCATCGAGTTGTCTTTTATATATTGTGAAATGCTATGACACTGCAAGCACCTCCATTCTGAAGTAACTAGAATACACTTATTTTGCTACAAAATTTTCGTCTCTAATTGCACTCTCATAGTTGGTTCTACGCACTAAGGCAACTGTTATGATTCAGTGTTGCTCTGTATTTACCTTTCACATATCAATACGTAGCTTAAATGCACTATTCTTTGGCTACAACTATTACCCGTTCCATACAACAACGAGAAGCTACTGCAACCACATTATTCCAAGTTCAAGCAACAACATAAACAAATAAAAATCTTAAAAGTACCTTGACCCTCTCCAATTCCAAATAACCAAATCAACGATAGCGGCCTCCTTCAATTGTGAAAATTGTTACAATAGACCGCAAAAACACTACTACTATGTTAGCAGGACTTCAGATTTTACATTTGACTCTTATGTTTGGGAACTGCATTTGTTGGCCCCAAATGACTATATTAGGGACAATGATTAATTATATTTGAAGCGTTGTTAATTTTAAGTTTATGTGCATCAAAACTTTTTCCCACCAGAGTAGATATGATAATTGAAAAACAATGAGAACTAGATATTATAATTGCAAAACAGAAGTGAGATACAAACAACGTGTATTGATAGACAATAAACCAATTATTGTATATATATGTACCGAAGGACTTGTACCAAAAATCAGCAATAGAGTATGTTATACTGAAATTATAATTTAATCATGGTTCAATGTACAATTTTCAATCCTTGCAATAAACTACACATCAAATCACATGGACTTAAGAAAAGAAGGAAAACAAACAACACAACGGATTCTAGATAGTAGTAAACCCGGCCATAGGCCGGGCAAAAAGCTAGTTGATAGAAATGACAAATTTGTAGTATGTTTTTTACTTTAATTCCACTTGAAATGATTAATAACTTAGCTAGCCCTCAACAACAAGGTAAATATGTCATAATTTCCTAGAGATAAGTTTATAGAAGTCGTGCAATTGTGGTTGCTCCGTAGTCGATGATGGTGAAGAGCAGGGCATACTGTCAAGCCAAGTTAAGATGTGTAAGAACTGAAGAAGCCGTCAGGTGGACTAGTGCACTTAAGCATGCGTCACTTATATTAATTATATCTCAGGCTGATTAATCGTGCCTAGCTTCCCTAGATGGCATCTAGGGTTATGAACATATAATTGTTTGCCTATCGCCTAGGCGAGGCGTTTGATCATTGTTTAGCGCCTACATAGAATTACATTTTCTTGAACCCTGATACATTGTAGTCCTGGCAAGACAATGATACAACAAAGTCAATAACACAAACACGAGGGATTGAAATAGAAGCAAATAGAAGGTTCAAACTGATTCAATACTTAACCACGTGATATCCTTTTACTAAATTGATTCTTTAATATGTTAACAAAGATCGACTCTTCTTTCTGATTTCTTCCCCTCTATTCTTGTCCCTTATTCTCCCCTTAATGGGATAGTTCCTCAAGGTACTTGGGGAATTAGTCCCCCAAATACTAGGGTTTTAACTAGGGGTGGCAATACGGTCCGGTCCGGTTAAATTGGCCGAATTAATTCTATTCCGGTCCGGTCTTTTCGGGAATATAAGGACCAAAGATTGGATTGGATGCAGTCTGGCCTTGATCCAGTCCGGTCTTGACCCAGTCCGGTCCCAATTCGGTCTTGATTTTAGATTGAACTTGTGGAAATTTGAGTGGCTTGAGACCTCAAAAGGTGAGGAGTTGGTTAAGTTTGAGTGTGGGGCTTTCTTATCTGGTCTTTATCCGGTTTTCGATCCGGTCCCAAACAGTTTTTTTAACTCAAATCTAAGCCCGAAGATGGGATTGGATTGTTGGCTATCCAGTTCTGGTCCGGTCTCACTCCGGGTTGTATGGTCAGGTTTCGGGTAAACCCAAAAAGCCTGAACCAAATAGCCAGCCCTAGTTTTAACAAAGTACCTTGAGGAATGAAGGATTCCGGTTTTAACAGCCAAATCTCCATGCTCACCAGTCGTACCCCCATGATTATTAAGCTCCACCACCATCATATATCAAGAACCACCTCAACAACCTAGGGTTTTAAAAAAGAAGTGCTCAAGAGTTTCCTCTTCCTCCCCACACACCGGACACTGAGCAAACCCCTACCCCCTGATTAGCAATGCCTCACCCGTCGGTAAGATACGACGCACGAGCTGCCATAAAAAATACCGCAACTTGGGAGGGATTGAGGCTTCCTAGATGCTGATCCATAACCCCCTATCCCACGGAAATGCGTAAGGCCGCACCACTAACTCTTGTTTCCTCCTATGATCCACAACCATATGATAATCCGACTTCACCGTGTATTCCCCGGATGGATCACCCATCCAAATCAGTCTATCCGAAATCGGCGAGATAGGCAAAGGAATAACCTATGTTTGATGAGGTCAAGATGGACGACTATTTTTTATTAATAAAAATTGGGTAATGTCTATTTATTATCCAAACATTTTCAAGATTCTTTTATTTTATGCAAAACTATCGAAATTCTATTTATTATCCAACTGTTACCCCACAGAATGCTCTGTTAAATTTGTTGACTCATAAGCATCAGTCTGAGTTGGAAGCCAACGTGGCGGTCTGAGAGGGCATCTGTTTTTTTTTATTAAAAAAAAGGTAATGTCTTTTCGCCCAAAAATTTTCCAGGTTCTTTTATTTTATCCAAACCTATTGGAATACTATTTATTAATCAAATGTTAAATTTTTTTTTTTGAAAAGGATCCATTAAGTAGACAAACGGAACAAAGCCCAACGGAAAGATACAAGCTTACAACTGGGTAAGGGAAAAAACCCAACAGGCCCACACAAAGACCAGCCTAGGACAAAAGGCCTAAACACAAATTGGACAAAATTCCCAAAACCCTAGCCACAAGCAACAACCCCTGGAACCTCCCACCGTCACCGGCTGCCACACACACAATCCAAATCCCAGCAAACCCAACCATGGACGATGAAACAACACCAGCGCCAGGACGGAAAAGGTGGAGCAAGCCAACTGAGAAGGAGGAACGGTCAAAGAACAAACACCCGCTTCACACCATTCCTCGCTGGATCCAACGCATCAACACCTTGACGCCTACACGAAACGATCGAGGAAACATCAACCGAAAACCAGGGGAGAAATCTCTGTCTTCAAGCTCTTCCAACCGAGTCCAAGCCGACGACTATAGCATCTCTGAGACACCGAGATATATTGGGTGAAACATATAGGAGGTAGACGAGGGATAGAAAGGGGAGAAGAAGAGCTGGAAGAGAGAACAGATCCAGCCTCCTTTTGTCTCTTAGAAGCAGAGCATCTCCAGAACTGATAAATCATAAATCAGAGCAGAGGAAGAGAAGTCAAACCCAGAAAAGGGAGCAGGAAAAGAACCCACAAAGGGAGGAACATGAAACCGCAAAGAGAAAGTGAAGGGGAAACACCTGTCGCAACCGTCCCTCCGGGGGTCCGATGTCGTCGCGTCGGCGTTTTTGGGAGTCGCCATCGATCTTACTTGGAGTGGATCGAACACTCATCAGTCGGCTCTAACCTTAGGATCAGAACCGAGACTTGGTCTGCGAAAATAAAGTTCTGGGTTCGGGAGTACGGTTACGTGTGGGGAAGTTAAGCAACACCCCCACAACGCCCTAAATCGGTACTACTTAAGTTTGATAAGTTTATATGAGTTGGGTGTGTTTTAGTAATATTTTTGTAATTTTAGGTCCCACTGGACCATTTAATGATTTTATCGTATTAGTTGAAATTTAATTATACGTCCACTGACGTAAAATTTAAATATGAAGTTAGTTGGTTAGTTGGACTCGAACCTTATCGGTTGCCTACGTACCCGTAATACGGGATCAAAGTTCACGTAGTTCGTTAGGAATTTTGATAATTTAATTGTAATCACGTTCCACTGATCGTGATTTTTGTATTGTAATTTTGTTAATAAAACTTCACTTAGATTATTATGAGGTTGCTAAAGTGAAACTAAGAATTTTAATTGTTAGGAAGAAATTCGGTGTATCAAAAAAGAAGCAAAACTAACTTAATCCGCATTCAACATTTCGTATTAAGAACTTTAAAGGAATAAAATTGAACGGGATGGTTAAATTAACGCATAATAGGCCAGCAGTCCAACTGGTGTGACTACCGCTATTAGTTCATTTGTGGGCCGCACAGCATGAGTTCGAAACTCGGTAAGAGCTTTAATTTTGGTGTTTCCGTTTTGGAACTGAAATGAAGAGGGGTATTTTGGTAAATGATCGAAAACACGGTGGCAGGGAGAGTAATATTGAGGAAAACCTAAGGGCATTTTTGCCATTTCCAATTACGAGGTATATAACTCTCTCTTAGCAAACCCTAATCCTCTTTAACCCTAAGCGGCGGCCGCCCTCTCTCGATTCTTCCTTTCTCTCTCTCTTTCTGTTCTTTCTTTTCGCCTCCTCTGAAACGAGAATGGAAAAAAAACGTAAACTCTTCACCCCTCTCTCTCGTCTCCTCTTCCAGAAGAGACCCCAAAAACCCTAATCAAACCAAACGCTCCCCTCTCAATTTTCTTCTCCCTCTCGCGTTCTTCCTCTCTTATCCGAGAAATGGAAACCGACAAGCCCTCTCCCTATCCGATCTACTTCTCTCCCACTCCTTATTTCTGAAAACGACAAGGGGAAAGAAGAACGGCGTCGCCGGCGGCGACCAGGAGAGGCGTCGACGGTGGCGACTGGGGGAGGCGCCGCCAGCGATGACACCGACGACAACGAGGGTACCTTAAAGGTTCGTTTTTGTTTTGCATGCAAGATTTTTTTTTTACCATTTTCAGGTCTTGATTTCCTGGTTTTCGAGGTTCTAACCCTTTTTCTTGTTTATTTTTCCGGAAATCGGCTCAAATCGAGGGGGACTCTTGATTTACCTTCTAATAATCTCGATCTACCCTTTCTAGTTGGAACAGAGGCGACGACGAGGAGATCTTACCCTCTGG